ATAGTACATGATGTTAACGGAGCTCCCATTGTCCACCAGGACTCGGTGGACGATCGTGTCGTTGATTTCGACCTTGATGACCAAGGCATCCCTGTGTGGCGGAGGCATCGGCGGCAAATCTGCGTCGGTGAAGAAGATGGGGTCCCTCTTCACCCTCTTATCGGCGGGAGCCCTGGTTATCTCCCCCACGTATAGGGCTCGGGCCCACTGCTTCCGTTCTCCAGAGGTGTCGCCTCCCTGGGGTCCCCCGAATATGAATGAACATCGATGGTACTTCCGGGGGCCGTTCCCTAGGTCGGCATCGTCTTCCTCGGAGAAGGCGCCGAGCTCCCGCTTCTTGGCAGGCGGTTTCTCCTTTGACGTGGTAGCTTGGTCGGACCACTGCCACGTCAGGCTCCTCTTCTGCGGGATGCCTCCTTGTTTGCCAACGAATTGGCCCAGGTACCCTTTCCGGATGAGTTCTTCAATTTTCCGCCGGAGAATGACGCAATCATCTGTATCATGCCCTGCTCTCCGATGGAATCGACAATATTGGTCGTGGTTGCGCTTGGCAGTCACCACATCACACTCCTCCGGAAAGTCGACTAAACCTTGCTCCTCCGCGTAGTCGAGGATGGCCCCGACCGGCTGAGCAAGTGGAGTCAATTGCTTGACGGGCTGTAGCGGTCCGCTCGGGACGTCCGCCTTGCCCTTGCCTCTACTTTTGTTACCTCTGTACTTGTTGTTTTTGTTGTTAGCTTTGCCGTCAGCTTTCTCAGCACCCGAACCGGCTTCCTTCTTCTTTTCTTCTTTTGCACCTTCTTCCTCATCTCTTTTCCTCTGCAAGGCGTCCTCCGCCTCGGCTTGCCGGTCGGCACGGCCGAGCGCCTCCTCGTACGAGGTAGGGGGACTTCTGACGAAATCTTTGTAAAGCTCGCCCGATCGGATAGAGTTTGTGAGCATGGCCACCCCGGTCCTGTCATCAAGGCCCTGAACCTTGACTGACTCGGCCCTCCACCTCGCTAGGAAGGTCGACAATGATTCCTTCTTCCCCTGTTTTAGGCCGAACAGGTGGCTGAAGTTTTTCTTGACGTCTCGGGAGCTCGCGAACCTCAAGAGAAAGCGCTGAGCCAACTCACGGAAATTCGTGATACTCCCATCGGGTAGAGAGTCATACCATTCACGAGCCGGGCCATCCAAAGTGGTGGAGAAACCGCGGCATCGGATTGCGTCCTCGTACCCCATCATGACCATGTAGGAAAGGTACCGAGATACATGATGCTGGGGGTCCGAAGCGCCCTTGTATGCTTCAATGGCGCAAGGCTTGTAGCCCCTCGGCAACGGCGCATCCATGACCGCCCGGGTGAAGGGTTCGGGTATCCGGAGGTCGGCCGTGTAAGGCTCCCCCCCCCCCCCGACAACCCTCCTTCTCAACTCGTCAAGGCGTTGTGGTAGATCTTCCACCTCGGTCGGCGGTGGGTTCCCCCGGACAGCTCCAGCGCGGGGCTGGGCATGTCCGGCGGCACCTCCAAGTCGTCCGTGCACGTGAGGTCGGGGCCCCACGTTTTGCCTCTCCGTGGAGCCAGTCCGACTGCTCGCCCGGTGAGAGTGGCGAGAGGGCTCGCCTCCTTCCATCTGCGTTGGGCGCCCCTGCTGGGCGCCCCTCCCCGTCTGCCGATGGGGTCGGCTAGGCTGCTGAGAGACTTCTTCCCCCCGCCGATGGGAGACTTCTTCCCCCCTGTTTTGGTTGGATCCAGAGCGTCGCTCATCACGCCGCCTGGAGGACACCTCCACATCCGCTGGCGTCTGTTGACGGGCAGGCTCATCCACATTTCCGCCAGACACCATCTGTTGGAAATTTTGAGCCAAGGTCCCCAGAACCCGAGTTGCCTCCTGCAGGGCTTCCACCCCGGCATTGAGTCGAGCCGGGTCCATGCGCGGAGCAGGACGTCGGCCTCCCCCCCGCCGGCTGCGGACCGAGCGCTCACCTTGAGTGTGGTTGAGCGTCGCCCTTAGGTCGCCGTGGCCTGATAATTGGTTCTGAAGGTCGCCTTGGCGCGCCGCCCTCCTGCCCTGTGCATGGTTGTCGAGGGCACGCTGGCGGCCAGACCGGGCGGACTCCTCGGTGTGGACTGAGACATGGTCACGTCGAGACGAGATTCCGGCCATCTTCCTGTGTGATTCCTACTCAAGTGATGTGAGAGACAATAGAGGCTCTCAATGAAAGCACCAATGTTGGTCCAAAATAGGACGCTCGTAGGCTTTTAGGAAAGCTACGTACGACACTCAAGCAGGAATTAGGAAAGTACGAATATGGAAAGTTAACCAGAAATAGCATATCTGTATTTGAAATTCGGTTTGCCTTTTACAGGCGATTACAAATGGTAACTGCCGAACATAATAATGACTAAATTAATTACAACATTAATACGGAATTAAACACATAATTAAGTAGCACATTGATTGTTGACCGTTACTCTTCCTGGCTGGCAGGTCAGCCTGGCTGGCAGGCTGGACGCTTGAGCTCCCTCCTGCTGGACTGGACGGTGGGCTTCCCGCTAGGCTGGAGGAAGGCTTCTCACCGGGCTGGAGGCAGGCTCCCAGGTAGGCTGGAAGGCAGGCTCCCGGGTAGGCTGGAAGGCAGGCTCCCCGATGAGCTGGAGGCAGGCTCCCACCTGGGCTGGACCGCGGGCTCCCAGTTGGGCTGGATCGCAGGCTCCCAGCGGGCTGGTGGTCGGTAGGCTCTCGGCTAGGCTGGAAGGCAGGCTCCCCACTGGGCTGGAAGGCAGGCTCCCCACTGGGCTGGACCGCAGGCTCCCAGTTGGGCTGGACCGCAGGCTCCCGGGTAGGCTGGAAGGAACGCTCCCGGGTAGGCTGGACCGCAGGCTCCCAGTTGGGCTGGACCGCAGGCTCCCAGCTGGGCTGGTGGTCGACAGGCTCCTGGCTAGGCTGGAAGGCAGGCTCCCGGGTAGGCTGGACCGCAAGCTCCCCGCTGGGCTGGTCGACAGGCTCTCTTGGGCTTCCGCTCCTTGATTGCCCTGGTTGGTCGGGCTGACTCGAGCTCTGGGTTGCTGGGCTTGGGCCCGCTGGTCCAAGTTCGGGGCCTGGGCTGATTAGGCTCTGGGCCTAGTCCCATAACCCCATCAATTATGATATAGACTATATCTATGTATGATATGTGGTAGATCATAGGAATTGGTGGAGTACTCAAGGACGGAACTGTCCTCAAACCTCGGAATATAATTGGTGGAGTACCGAGTAATTGGATTGTCCTCAAAACTCGGTTTATAATTGGTGGAGTACCCAAGGACTAGACTATCCTCAAAACTCAAAATATGTTGAAGTATCCAGGGACTGAATTATCCTCAAAACTCATAGACTATGGTTTAGTAATTCAATATCAGGCGGTGCACTTAGAATAGTTGATTGGACAAGGAGACTTAATCAAAATTGGTTCTACACTTTTCATATTCGCTGTCAGATACGGAAGAATTGAAATTTTTGAATTTAAGAAATCAACGTTGTTCATGATTAATTTCAGCTCTGAGTTAGCGCCCAATATCTATAGATTTATTATCCAACTCTCAAATTTTTATTCACGGCAGAGCAGGAGATTTGGGGAAATCACGGTTACCTCAGATTTCAATAAAGCAGGCCGATACTTGAAAATTGCTAAAAAAAATGGGAGCTCTATTCGGTTCCACATGGGCGTAGAGAATTCCAATCTAAAAGCTTTCTCGGAATTGTTTTCTAATTCAGTGGGATTGACTACTTCGGTGCAGGAGGATCTCACGCATTTGGAGCATGCTTCGGCAGATGATACCGAAACAATAACCATCTCCAAACTAATATTTAACTATGAAGTGCAGAGAGCCTATGGCGAGAAGCAAGAGCCCCTCTCTTTTGAGAAGCTACCACAAATTCCACTTATCTAGGCGTATTCTGATGCCTCGGACAACTTTGACTATTCCGACGAGTCATTCTTTTCAGATGACTTTCTAGGTCATGCAACAGAAAGTGATCGTCGCCCTCCTATATCAAACAAGGAAGAAATTGGGAACTCCAAATTCAACAGAAGGATTTGTCGTAAATCAAAGCTGGTCACCATAGAAAACTATCTGCCGATAGAGAACCTGAACACACAACTCAAAATTTACAGGAAATCTCAACAAAGCAAAAGGCGACATAGCATGAGGACTAGATCGTAGTCCCGAGATTTCCCTTGAGTCTAGTTTGTTATTTCTTTCATTTTCTCTGTATTTTTTTTTTGTTTTTTTACATTTCTTTAGCTTCTTGTAATGCACTTTTATTGTTATGAATAATTTTTTTTTAAAAAAAAAGGGGGGCAGGAATGGGATTTAAAGTCAAATATTATGACTACTATTATTTCCCAAGTAAGCAATGACTTACAGATCGGATATTTTCCAAGTGTATATACTTATATATACTTCAAAACTTGGGAGAAAAAATATTAGTATATGTATCACCCTATGTTTGAGTCTTATACTTGAAATATTAGTTATTCTACATTTAGCCTGCTTTTCACCAGTACGAGTGTATTGATCCCTCGGGGAGCCCTACCATTTTTTAGGTTGAAGTTAGGGTTTGCTATCTGCACCTTCGTACGCATGAAGTCAACAAAAAGAAGACTTGGTTTGTGTTTCCTTATTTCTTTAAAACTACAAACACTTGCTCATGGATATTTATGTTGGGATAATGGGTCAGGCCCAATGCCATCAGCCCGTTATCCCCGAGCTTAGGCCCAACCAGGCCCAGGACGCAGTCTCACGAGCGGGAGTCACCCCTGGCTCATTTACTTATTTATCGGGCCGGTTCGTCCATTAGCTTGGAGATGTATTATTAATATATGTCAAGGCCACATAGATTAGACTTTGGACTTATGATGGATGCCTATAAATAGACCATCAACCCCACATGTATTTTCTACGCTATTTTATTATATTGAAATGTTGCTAGTTTCTCTACCCGAGATATTTTCTACCAACATTGGTGCTTTCATTGAGAGTTCTCTCTTTCCCGGTACAAAATTGGAGAGATTTGAGCAGCTATCAAGTGAGATTGCTTCGGAAAATCACAAATTCATTAAGAAATATCAATGAACAATATCCCCCATTGCTATTAATCAATTTAGGACAAATTTAAGCACAGGCTTCCAGATCTAGAAGAGATGGAAGAATTTTGGTTGCACTTGCAGCCGAAGACTGGACTGACCCAACGGACACCAGCACCGGCAGGGCGAGATGGACGCACAACAGATGATCCCGAGCACCACTGCTCCATCTTCATCGTAGCAGCGACGCTCGCGACTCCTTCATCCATCTCAGGCACCGTTCGCCGCTATTCCCTCCTGGTCTGACCCGTTGTCGTCACCATCCAGGCTATCGCAGCCTAGAATCCCGCCACCCCTTCGCATGACCTCTGTTCGCAGCTCGTTCTCCAGCAGAGCAACGGTCAACCAGGCTTAGAAGTGGATGGCTGAGACACCTTGCGACCTCCAACCTTCGCAGGCTGCCAATTTCACGATTCTCCTTTCCCAACCCGTAGACCCGGAAAGCAGTAGGGTCGGTTGGAGGAGATGACGGCCTACGGGAGTCTAGACTCCTCTTTCTCGTACCAGCCTTGATTTTGACCTTAGTCAAAATTTCACTGAACTCAGCTACGAGGAGAGAGTAAATGACGGAACACAGTAGAATTTGGTCAGATGTTTCCGAATCGCGTTGATGTATTTTTTTTGACGAAAAAGAGTAAAACGGGGTTCAGTACTCCGAATTTGAAGTGGCTGCGAGGAAGATCGAAATGCTGACAGCTTTAACGCCACAGCTTTACGCTTTTCGGATCTGACAACTCCGAAAGCGTTCCATCAGAAAATGTCAGCCATTTTCGGAGCTGACAACTCCGAATGCAGAAGATAGGATTTCCCAACATTTTCATTGGTCCGTCGGATTCTACCGTGATAATATTTTCAGCATAAATACTCCTCCTCCCACACACTTTCACACCCACCAACATCTCCTATCCTCCTCCCACACTTTCATACCAACAAAACAAACAAGGCTTCTTGTTCAAAGGTTAGAGTTTATTATTATTATTATTATTATTATTATTATTATTATTATATTATTATTATTATTATTATTATTATTACAAAAAGAAGTTTAATATTATCTGTTCTTATTATTCCATTAGTAGTAATAATTGTAGAACTTTTTCATATTTACTTACTTCATATCCATTAGTAGTAATAATTGTAGAACTTTTAAACTACATAATATTATTGAACACATTTATTAACACTAAATTAAAAATATGATAAAAAATTTAGTATTTGTTTACGTATTAATTGTAGGTTGTAATGGCTGAACGAGTTGCACACCCTGACCCTCGGGATCGTTCTGTTTTAGTTATGATACCCGGTGAGCATCGTGACGATCGTGTGTGGCACGAATCAGCATTTCGAGATGACAAACTGAGGTGCCATCACTATTCGTCATGTGCCTATGTTGATGATGGTCCGCGTCATCCTGGGGTGGTACGGTTGTTGAGAGCATCTGGGTTTCACGGTGTCGAGAGAATAGGACAAATACAGTTAGATTGGTCACTTCTGACTGCGTTAGTGGAGAGGTGGAGACCCGAGGTACACGCATTTCATTTGCCCTTTGGTGAGGTAGGATTGACTTTACAGGATGTGCAAGTGTTGTTGGGGTTGCCCATTGACGGCATACCACTCACTGGTCCCACGATTACTGATAAGGCAGCGTTGTTGCAGATGTGTGCACAGTCTGCTGGTTTTATACCAGAAGATGATGATTTAATTCAGCTACCATAAAAGTAACAAATATCCACCCCATTCCATTAACCGATTGGAGCACTGAAAACGAGGTGACTCAACACACTAGGGCCCTCATTTGGCAGTTGTTAGGTGGTTCATTATTCCCTACCACTAGTGGAAACATGGCTAGTTGGTATTTCTTGGAGTTGTTGCAGAGGAACTTAGTAGATGTGTGCCGATGGAGCTGGGGCTCAGCGGTCTTGGCCTATCTGTATCACACCATGTGTAAGGTGGCCAAGGCCCAGGCTAAACAGATTGGAGGATGTTTAATCCTTCTACAAATCTGGGCATGAGAGAGATTGTCGATGGTTCTGCCCCAAGGTCATCTCCCACTTGACCATATATTGGATTTTCCGTATGCTGTTAGGTATTGTTTAAATAAACAATACATTATCTATGTTACTTTGATTATTGTATTACAAGATGCTATTTATGCTTTTAATCTACGCTATTTATTTATATTATTGTTCATGGAAACTAAATCTAGGTGGGCGTGTCAACATGATTGGCAACAAACAAACAGATTTTCGTTACGGGTATATAGGGACCAACTAGATCGGATGACGGAAGATGAGGTATAATTTGTTACTTGTACAATTCAATTTTACATGATTTTTAATTTGTTACATTCAAATTCAATAAATTAAATGATATAAATAACTATGTGTGCTTACTAATTGGGAGATATTTTCCAGTTCGAATGGATCCCCTATCCGTTGATGAACCTTCCAGCATATTGTCATGATGCGAACGATTTGTGGGCTGCGGAGGTTCCATTGATTTATACACGTTTTTCTGAGGCACACTATCCTAGGAGGTTTTGTCGTCAATTCAACGCATATCAGGATCGACCCGCTCCGGTTGTGGCAGGGCATCGTCACCACAATAGTGGATCACGATTCATGGTCGAGCTTGTTGAAGAATGGGCATTACGGTGGAACAAAATATTCCCACTTCAGTGGGTTGACGAAGGTCCTTTCATTAGTGATGAGTACCGCGAGTGGTACCGTAATGTAGGAAAACAATGGCTCACAAACCCGTGTGTTGATCGTCCCACTCAGGGATTCGTTCCTGCTCACCCACAAGCGGCTATTGCGGTAACTATTCGTTTTAATTCGTAATTCTATTAATAAATAATTTGAAACAAATTATAAAAACTGATGCATATTTTAGATTCAATGTTTGGGTGAGATAATTCGCCGATTACGAGTCAGAGATGATCCGGATGACATCATTGCACACGGTGTAGAGTGTCTTACACGACTTGGTGCAGAAGAAGCGATTGATCATGACATCATCACATATGAAGCTGCAGATGTTGATCCTCTCACTGCTCTTCGTCCCCCACGCCCTCATCGTGGGAGGGGCGGTCCCACACGCGGAAGGCGAATTGGCCGGGGTAACGTTCGGATGGGGGATGTTGGCACCCATGATGATGCACATCTGCATTCTCAATCCTCTCGTGCCAGTTCATACCATCCATCTCCGGTGCATCAACCACATGTGTACTCCACACCCACCAGTCCAAATATTCCTATATTCGATGCAGGACCTAGCTTTTTCCATTCACCGGTGGATTGGATGATCGGCTTATTTGGCTCTGAGACCGCAGGACCGAGTACCCAACCTACTGTTGAGGTTAGGTCGAGATGGGAGCCTCACAGTCGTGAGACAGATTCAGACGAATCTGAGTAGTTGTAATAAATTATATCATTGTAGCTATATTAAATCTATTATATATGTTGTGGTTGATATTGAATATTTTATCAGATAAAATAATGTCTCTAGTCAGATTAAAAAAAATACTTTATCAGATTAAATATTCTCGGTCAGATAAAATATCTCTGTATACATACTCACCCACCCCGCAACTAACATCATTACTCCCAACCACCTCAATAATGCCTCTGGTCAGATTAAAAAAAATACTTTATCAGATAAAATATTCCCGGTCAAATAAAATATCTCTGTATACATGCTCACCCACCCCGCAACTAACATCATTACTCCCAACCACCTCAATAATGCCTCTGGTCAGATTAAAAAAAAATACTTTATCAGATAAAATATTCCCGGTCAGATAAAATATCTCTGTATACATGCTCACCCACCCCGCAACTAACATCATTACTCCCAACCACCTCAATAATGCCTCTGGTCAGATTAAAAAAAAATACTTTATCAGATAAAATATTCCCGATCAGATAAAATATCTCTGTATACATGCTCACCCACCCCGCAACTAACATCATTACTCCCAACCACCTCAAATATGCCTCTGGTCAGATTAAAAAAAATACTTTATCAGACAAAATATCTCTGTATAGATGCTCACCCACCCCGCAACTAACATCATTACTCCCAACCACCTCAATAATGCCTCTGGTCAGATTAAAAAAATTACTTTATCAGATAAAATATTCCCGGTCAGATAAAAGATCTCTGTATACATGCTCACCCACCTCGCAACTAACATCATTACTTCCCGGTCTCAATAATTCACCTCTAACACTCACTATATAAGCAACACTTCACACACTAATTCTTATCACTCACATATCTCATTTCTATCACTTATAACTCTCATTTTACCACTCACAACAAAAAATAATGTCAAGTGAGCAGAACATAATAGTTCTTGTTTATTGGAATGAGGTATTGACTAATGTTGACAACGAAGTCAAATACTCTTCATTTCCGAATGCAGTACTTTTCTTAACTGCCGATGTTAGCTACACAACATTGTGTGAGCGTATTATTGCTGAGATTTCTCGTGATGGTTTAGATGAAATCAAAACCATTCATGGAAAATTTCCTTTTCATACTACAGATGGTGTGTGTGCATCTATGCCGTGGCCCATTCACGATGACCAGTCATGGATCTATTTTATGCAAATAGCTTCGAACGTGTACGATCGCTTGGAGTTATTCATTGATGCAAACAATAGGGATGTCATTATTCCATTGCACGAAGGCCCTTCTAGGCGGCGGCGCAACCGGGAGCCATTACCATCAACTCAAGGTCCTTCAATGGTTGATATGGATCCGCCACATGAGGACGTGGAGGATGAAGAGGATGAAGAGGATCCCGACTACAACTTTCATTTTCGGAAGAGGAGAGCGCTTCCGAAGATAGTAATGATAGTCGTGACTCATCTTGGGTTATGCCACATAACCAAGAGGATCCGTTTGTTGAACCCGCATACCGTGTCGTAGACCCAATAGAAGTGGGAAGGATATATGATTCGTATGACGAACTCAAAGAAGCAGTCTCTATTCAAAACTTGAAAGAATATCGAACATTCCGGAGTGAGGCAAAACGTGCAACATACTGGAGGGCTAAATGCGTCTATGATGAGATGTGTTCGTGGCACATTCAAGCATCACAAGTGAAGAGCACAAACCTCTGGAAAGTAAAGAAGTATCAACCCCGCCATAACTGCCTTCCGAATTATACAAGAGGCAGAATCGACAAACTCCTTACAAGTAAGCTCATCGCTTCTGAAATTAGTTCCACGATTCGCATAAAACCAGAGTATAGTATTAAGTTAATAATGAATGACATACACCAAAAGTATAACATTCATGTTGGATATAAGAAAGCGTGGTATGCTCGTATACTAGCACTCGAGAAACGGTTTGGCAATTGGGAGACATCGTACAACGATCTCCCAAAAGTGTTACAAGCAATGGCGTATACTAACCCAGGGAGCATAATTGATATTCAAAGTGATAACACTCACACCCAAGGTACATATGAATTTAAATTTGCTTTTTGGTCAATAAAAGCGGCCATTGATGGGTTCAATCACTGCCTTCCGGTTGTGTCAATTGATGGAACTCACTTGTACGGAAAGTACAAGGGTCATCTCCTAGTCGCGGTGGCAATGAATGTGAACCATGAAATCTACCCTCTAGCATTTGGAGTGGTAGATAGTGAGAATGGTGCTAGTTGGACGTGGTTCTTACATTTGCTTGTGACACACGTCATACGGCCGCATCGGAATGTTTGCATCATCTCGGATAGGCATGCGGCTATAGATTATGCATTTCGGAATGTGGAAGAATTGGGAACACCTCGATTTCAGAGACGTTACTGTCTTCGCCACATTAGAAGCAACTTCATGTCCCAATTTAGAAGTAAACAACTAAAGAAGTTGTGTTGGCGAGCGGGAAGTACCCCGATTGTAAGTGAGTTTAACCATGTCATGCAACAAATTAGGGGTACTAACGAGAGAGCATTCAAGTATTTAAATGACATTCCCCAAGAAAAGTGGGCACTTTGTTTTGATGGTGGTTGTCGTTATGGTATTTTGACAACAAATCTTTCGAAAAGTTTCAACAATGCTCTCAAAGGATGTAGGACATTGCCAATCACTGCCCTTGTACGAGCAACTTTTGACAAACTAGTCCAGCTCTTCGCCCAACGTCGTAGTGCTGGTATGATGTGGCAGCAAGCTGGATATTATTTTCCGGATAACATTCGGAAAGAGATTATGGAGCGTTGGCACCAAAGACCTCACACTATGGTTCTTCCACACAACCACTACACAGGAATTTACTCAGTCGCCGTGGATAATGCAACACTTGTTACGGTGAATTTATCGAGACTTGTCTGTGAGTGCGGTTGTTGGAGGATGAACGGCATGCCATGCGTCCATGCGCATGCTGTCTGCCATTTTCTTAAGTGCCCTGTTGATCATCTTATTCCAGAGGTATACAAACTAAGTTCTTACATAAATGCACATTCCAGTGATATCATGCCATTGCCGAATCTGAATGAGTGGCCACAAAATGAGTTCATTCTTCTGCCGCCTAAATACTCTTCCAGAACTTCTCGAGTAGGACGCCGTCAAGAAACAAGATTTCCAAATGAGATGGATATGCGTCCAAGACGCAGAGCACAACATGATTGATTCACATTTGTACTCTCTTATGGTGTATTATTTCTTTTATTTGTAGTTTGTTTTAATGTTGTAACACTTTTATTAGCCATATGTTTCAAATGTACTTTTAATATGTTATGAACTTTGTTTAATTTTGAGTTCATATGACTTAATGGGTCACTTATTATTAAACACGTGATACTGTAAACTGTATTTGTAATTACTTTCAAGTTAATAATGCTGAATGGGTCTACTGTTTTTAAAACTCGTCACATTGATTAAGTATATTGATACTTTTAATCGATGTACTTTGTTATTTTTTGGGTTCACATTTTTTAATGGTTAGGTTTTTATTATTCGGGTTCAGTATTTGTGTTCAAAATATTTATTGGGTCAATTTTGTAAAACGTGTGCTTATTTAATTGAAAGGGTCAACTTTTTGTAAAACGCGTATTCATGAACAATATTGTACAATTTTTACTTAAGTTGAATAACTTATGATTTATAACAAATACAAAAAAATCTTTTAAAAAAAATTTAAATTTTTTTTTACTGAAGTGAAAAATTCAGCAACCAAATTGAGGCCAAACAAAATAAATCATCACGGTACATACGAATTCGGAGGAGGGAACTCCGAAATGGTCTGACATTGTCCAGAGACTGCGTTTTCGGACCTGCCAACTCCGTTTTGTGCTATCCCAGAAAACTTCAAAAAAAATACATCTTTAGGAATTAGATGTTAGAAATGTGCACTTATCCGTCAAACACCCACGAGGAGATGCCTCTATGTGCCTCACTTTTTCAGCGGTGAGCTGGCAAACCAGATTTGGACTCTTCCTCTCTTTCCGGTGAAGCAAGATGGACGAGGATGACCCGCTCAAGCAATGGACACAATCATCAACCACGGCATATCCCTTAAAACTTTGTCAAGTTTGACCGATACGGAGATTAACAAAGTAAAAAGTGTGTGGTAGATGTTTGTGTAGAGGAGAGAGAATTAATTGGAGCCACAAATTCTTTACTTAAATGGGAAAGTGACAAAGTTAGTGGGACATCTAAAAAAGGAAAGTTGGCAAAGTCTTGAAGGACGGAGGGAGTATATTTGAAATTTCTATTAAATTTTCTGAAATTGTAGATTGATTATCCGTGCCAACTGGTCGTGGTTGCGGAGCACCATTGCGGGGTCGTGCACGCTCGGAGCTATCACCTCAGATGCTTGTATGCTCGATGCACATACACCATGCTCGTACGCTCGGGGCATGGCGGATTGAAGAGGGAGACGTACCAGCTTAGACGGATCCCGAAAGGATCGGAGTATGTGTCCCAACAAGTTAAGCAGTCACGACAGCCAGAAAGGAGGCCCTCCCGGCAACACTTGTCCCGGGAAGGAGGGCATGATTTGTCTCATCACTCCCGTCGACCGGGTAGGCGGGCTGGCTCGTCGGGAGACGCACCAGCACAAACGGATCTCGAAGGGGGTATGTGTCCTAACAAGTTGAGACGTACCAGCACAGATGTACCAGCACAGACGGATCCCGAAGGGGGTACGTGTCCCGGTAAGTTGAGCAGCCAAGAAGTAGGCCCTCCCGACAACATTTGTTCCGGGAAGGAGGGACCGATTCGTCTCATCACTCTCGTCGACTGGGTAGACAGCTGGCACCCAGGGAGAAATATCAGCAAAGATGTACAAGCACAGATGGATCTCGAAGGGAGTAGGTGTCCCGACAAATTGGGTAGCCATGGTAGCTAGGAAGGAC